TAGTTTCATTAAAACACAACTACATGATCATTTTGATATAATTACAGCTTCATTGTACAATATACACTCAAATATGTGAAATGTTATTCAGTTTCAGTTTATATACACTGCAGTTTCATTTCACTATAACTACAGTATCATTTTGATATAACTGTAGTGTCGGTTTGGATATACTGTAGTGTCAGTTAGTGTTTAATACACCAAATAAGCGGACTCCGTTAACTCTAACGGCGGGCCGTTTCTTTACTTAAAGAAACGGTGTCGTTTTGACCGCGGTGCACATGCACCGCGGTCTATAATATAACGATTGGAGGGCCTAAACACCAACAACATATACGCCCTGTTTGGTAAAATAGTTAGTTTATCAATCAATTTTGACTTATTTAACCACTATTAATTATTTAATTTGATTAAAAAATCAATATAAGTATTTGATTAATTAACTTTTTGTAACTTTAAAATGTTAAAATTCAAAAAGATGCTTAAAATAGTCTTTCCAATTAACTTTTTGAGAAAATAATTATAACAAATAGTTATCAGCTAATAGTTAATTTATCAACTATTTTTCTACAATAACTAATATTATCAACTGATTATATCTCTAATTAACCTAATCAATTAACAACTAATAGTCATTTATCAAACCCGACCATATTATTGTTACTTCTTGTTGTTTGAATCTATATTGACCGGCGGCCCTCAAGACGGATTACAAAATGCTTTGATGAGTCACCAACAATTTTCACATCTCGTTGCTTGACGCTCCACGTCTCCACTTATACACCAACCAATTAACTAGAGAACGGCGCATCAACCGACTTATTAGATAGCATGTTATTTATATAAAGTCCTGTTTGATAAAATAGTTACTTTATAAGTCAATTTTGACTTATTTAATCACTATGAGTTAATTACCGATTTGGTCCCTCGACTATGAGGATTTCATCACTTTGGTCCTCGACTTTCAAAATTGACCAATTTAGTCCCCAACTATGAAAACGTTAACTAAAATGGTCCTCAGTCTATTGAGTTAATTACCGATTTGGTCCATTGACTATGAAGATTTCACCACTTTGGTCATCAACTTTCAAAATTGATCAATTTAGTCCCCAACTATACAATTTTTTATCCGAAATGGTCCTAGGTACAAACTGTCGTTAGTTAGATATTAAAACTGAGGACAGAAATGTAATTTCACTTTATTTGCCTTCCCAGGTGTAGCTGGTTTAATCCCAAAATCTAACCCTAATCGCAGGGCAAGTGCATCACCCAAAGCTGGGGGAGAGGGGGAAGACTACGGCTATGCCACCCAAACTCAGCTCTAGATTCCACCCAATACTTCCTCTCTCGTTTCTTTGAATCCAAACAATCAATTGAGTTGGACATATCTCGGATCCACAAAACCCAAGACCCTCAATCCGACCCAAATCTCAAATCGGAACTGGATAAGGTCTCAACTTCAATCGCTGCTCTCGAAAAGCAAGTTAGCGGCGAACAGAACCCAACAAAGCGTCTCGGCGGTCTCTCAGCTCTCTCTCCTCAGCAAACTGCAACGCGAAGGCGTAGGCAGAGCAGCTACGGTGGCGGGTTTCGGAGCGGCTGGGAAACAGTTGGGCGAGGTCTTTTCCCCTCCGTTTCCCGACAGTCTCAGTTTATGGGTACTACGATAGCAGGTGGCGGCGACGGTTCCTTTCGGCGGTACAACCTCTCTCACTCGTTCGTTAACTTGAAGATAAAGAATATAGGCAGGAATTTCCTATTTTACCCTTGCATTTTGATGGTAAAATAGACTGAGGACAATTTTGGTTAACGTTTTCATAGTTGGGGACTAAATTGGTCAATTTTGAAAGTCGAGTACCAAAGTGGTGAAATCCTCATAGTCGAGGGACCAAATCGGTAATTAACTCTAATCACTATTAATTATTTAATTTAATTTAACCATCAAAATAAGTGTTTGATTAATTAATTTTTTGTACTTCAAAATGTTGAAATTCAAAAAGTTACTCAAAACAAATTTTTTAATTAACTTTTTGAAAAAAAAAATTATACCAACAACTATCAGCTAACAGTTAATTTACCAAACAACTTTCTACCATCAACTAATGTTATCAATAGTTATATCCTCTAATTAATCCAATCAGCTAACAGTTATCTATAACTGATATAAACACCTCATTATTGCTAGCCATTAAGCAAAACATAACGTACTAAGATCAAATTAAAGTGTTCTGACCTTCTAATCTCACCTATATTAGCGTTTCGACACATACTCTCTATCTCTAAGACCATCTCCAAGGGGTGCGCTAAAGCACCAAAACACAAAAAAAAATGTCAAAAATCAGCTCCAACCCTGCGCTATTCCGCCAAATATTTGGCGCACTGTGAACAGTGCTGCGCCATATTTGGCGCAGCACTGTTCACAGTGCGCCAAAACACTATAAGTTTTGTTTTTTTCATTTTGATCCCACTTTTTTGTTTAATTCTTTTTGTGTTTTGTTTTTTGTTTTAATATATTTGTATATTTTGTTAAATTGTTAACTATAAATTTTATATTATTTAAAATGAATTATATCATTTGAAAGATCTCATCAAGACGATTAAAATAAGTCTAATATTGAACATAGATTAATTAAAAATGAAAACACATAAAGCTTAATTATAACAAAATTAAAGGAAATTACATACTTAATTTAAAGCTAACACATAAAACTTAATTAAAACTACTTTAAACATACTTAATTTAAAACAAACACATAACACTTAATTAAAACTACTTTAAACATACTTAATTCAATAATCTCCTAGGCCAGCATCATTTCCTCCCAAATGATTAAAATATTGAGTAAGCGTATGTGGGAACATTATGGTAATTCTTTCAATTAAATGTAGCAGATGTTCTATAACTTATTATTGTGGAATAAAATAATATTTGCATTATAATTATATTGTATCATTTTTTATTTTTATATATTTACATATTTCGTTAAATATTAAACATAAATTGTATATTATTAAAATAAAATTATATCATTTGAAGATCTTATCAAGACGATTAAAACAAAACTAATATTAAATATAATTTAATTAAAGTCTAATTTATTAAATTACAACTATTAGTTTTGTTAAAAGAATAAAAGTATAAATATAAACTTTATGAGGGGTGTAGGAATAAAATTTGGTGCAGAATTTGGTGTAATAGGTTGGAGATGGAAAAAATTTGGTGTAAGAATATGCTGAGAATATTCTTTTTTGGTGTAAAATTTGGTGCAGAATTTGGTGCAATGGTTGGAGATGATCTAAGTCAAAGGATAAAATATTACTATTATTAAACTTTTTAAAGTATTTTTTTTTATTAAGACTTCCCACCCATGATGAATATAAATAACTGAGATTAGTTTTTACTTTTTACGAGAAGTCTCCGTCTCATTTGAATATCGTGATGGTCGGGAATGAGCTGAGAAATTGTTTTGGATAAGTTTATATTAGGGCGGCGGATCGGTGAGAGAATCCCCTGAAGGCCGAAACAGACGACAAGAATTGAAGAGTTCAAAACTGTAATGATTCCATCTCCCAACCTACACACATCACCACATGCCATGCGCCCTACAAATTTGTCAAACAACAACACAAAATATAATACTCCGTAATATATAATATATAATATACAATAATATAATAAAACAGATATTCTGAACCGGAACTATGTTCACAATGTTTTTGTAAACACAGGCGTCCGAGGCCATCAAGGTGAATGCATTTAATTTGTGAGTTTCGGTATAAGTTTTTAGGAGAAGTTAGAGAGTAAGGTTTGAGTTTCGATATCGGTAGTACGATGATGATATTTAAAGTGGATAGATTCTTTGTGCGTATCAATATTTGGTAATGTATTTTGAGTCATTAAATTATAGTGATTTGTATTTTTTATTTTTTTCAAGGGTTCATAGGGTTGGGATTCAATCTTTTAGGAGAAAGTATAAGGTTGGAATTATAACGAGTTTGGTTGTGGAGTTATGAGCTATATTTCACATATAGCTTAGCTTGGGTTTATATTTTAATTTGCTGAGTCAGGATGTTAACAGCATTTATACTAGTATTAGTTTTTTGGTGATTTTTGTCAAGAAAACTATAGTAAAGAGTAATTGGAAAGTGCTAAATAATAAAATTGGTCAACTTTATCATGATTAAGAATTTTTTCTTGATATCATTTTGAGTATATGATACTTATGCAGACTATAATGCAACCCGAACTATGATCTATGGTATAATGATGGGTGAACGCGTTACTCTGGATTTTATTTATTTTATTTTTAATTTCTTTTTTCAGAATCTATTTTGCTTCTTTTCTTTTTTCCTCTCCTTCTCATTTTCTTTTCTCTACTCAATCTAAAATTTTGTGCAAAAACTAATGTTAATTGAGAATGCTCATAGAGATTGATATTTGTTGGCGCGGAGCAGGAGGTAACGCGACAGTGATTAAAGAAGAGGTTGGGTCCCAATAAAAACTACTCGTCGTCCGTCCTAATGAAGAGTCTCAATATCTGGATGGATACAGCTTTGTCGTTTTGTTGGTAGTTGTTTGCTGCTTTCATATAAGAGACCACTTGCCAACATTTATTATTCTAGATTTCTAGAGAAACACAACAAAGAAAAACTTTCACTAATTCAATTTTTTTTTGGGTATACCAGAGTTGAACACAATGAATAATTCCCTCGCAGAATTACAAGCACCTCTTTTAAGTGGAACAGCTGGACTGAAAATTTAAAACTGCTCCATTCCAAAAACTAAGGATCAAACTCTTGACCTTTAGTTTAAGGATAGATGAGTCCATTCCACACATCTACACCCTCCAAGTTTTAGCTTTCACTAATTCATTGTTCTAGAGAAAGGTACACCCATTATGTGGGTTAGATTTTCTGTGGATCCGATGATAGTGCTATAGAGTGGAGAGTACTGATTTTACCGTGATGAAAAAAAAAATCCCAAAAAACCACTGCTATGATTTCCCTATTGAATTTGTTGGCTGGCAACAAGAATATATGTAGTAATAAAAGCAGAAAATAATTGCTTATGGTTGAGAGAGTCGACTGTACAGTTCTAACAAAAAGCTTTGAATCTACAAAGTACTAGAAAGACAACAAATCATGCGCTGCTCTTTCCATCTCCTGAATGTGAAAAACCATCATCGCCAAACATAGTGCCATCTGAGTTAGATGGCATTTCTGTCGCCTCAACAAAATGCTTTTCTCCAATGTCCCTTTTGCTGATTTTGGCTACGGATACTGTGGTAACATCTATGTCTATGGTTCCACTGTAGAGGCCCCTGCTTCCACCACCTAACACGCTCAGCTTCTCTTCACTGCTAGGCAGAAAAGATGGCAGAACACTCATCAATGGTGCATTGGGTTGATTGGAGCTATTCATGAGCATACGAAGCGTCTCTCTGGCACTCTTTTCTACCACAGACTCGGCCTCGGGAATTAATGGGCTCACAAGATTTGGGTGCAATGGGGGAATGCCAGTTGACATACCTGGGCCTGCACTCACCAAGTAGCCTTGCCCTGAAGAACAAACATCAATAAATGGAATGTGGACTATAGGATCGCAAATTAAAGGAGTGAAGGTTGGTATCTGCTGCGAGACTGGCAAAGTTAATGGCAACCTGACCAATGGATCAGGTAGAAGAGGTGGCAAATCTAAAGGGGAAACATCAGCCAAATTAAAAGGTTGCTTGGGCGCCAAAAGCACTGATGGCTTTGCTGTTGATAAAGAAGAAAATGGCGGTAGAGAAAGAGCTTCAGTAGATACATTTGGAAGCTGTGGAGTTCCCATTGAGTATTGCAAAGCTGACACAGGAGGACACCAACAATAGTAAGGAGATAAAAGAGTAGAATCCAAAGAAGGAACAACGGGTGCTGGGCCAAGAAAGGGAGCATCAGCAGCAAGCGACTCCAAAACATTTGTTGGCCGTAACAACTTAAGTACAGTTTCTTCTGAAGGTTTGTCATTTAAGCATGTTGAAGTAGATGGATTTTTCATACTCAGTGACCGAACAATGCAACCATCATCAACAGAAGAAGCAGCACTATCCCCACGCCTCCTGAGCTTGTCTCTAGCAACATTCCTCAATGAGGATGAGTTCTTTAGCAAGCTCTCCTTGAAGGAACTGGACCTGGGACTCAGGCCACCCTGATGGAATTGACTTGTCTTTGAACCTTGACTGCTGTAATGACGAGACCGAATGGACTTCTGAGAAGATGCTGAAGGTTGTGCACTTGGACCAGATGTGGAAGAATCAACAGAGGAATCAAACGGGGGGGTTGTTGACAGCATTGAATTTGTGTGACCATTGGTAAGAGTTGACCCAACAAGATGAGCACGAAGATGAATCGCAAAACACTTTAGCCGTGATTCACGGATTCCTGTTAGCTCACCAAGAGATGGTTTCGTTTTGAGTATATCCTTCATCTACATCAATTGAAACAAAGAACACATTAACAATAACCATCTGTATTAGATTATTATAAGAAAATGGGTTTGAAGAATGGCTAAAAAATATACCTTTCTTAACATCTCATCTCCAAGAAGCTTAGACTTCTCTGAGCACCAGAAATAAAAAATTTCACCATCTGGGATTTTAATCAGAAAAGAACGTCCAGACTGGTCTGCTGAAATTCCTTCAATTTCAACAGTGGAACAGTCCAATATGCTACAGAGTGTTGCCAGCCTATCTGTTCTACCATCATCCCCAATAAATGAGATGCGCAGGTCAGAAGCCGGCAAAAGAGAGAGACTTAAGCTTCCCCTATAGCAAAAGCAAGTCACAAGTACAACAATTAGACGCATTAACGGATGGAGAAATAAAAATTAAAAAAAAAAAAAAAAAAGGGGGGGGGGGGGGGCTAATTAGTTAATAAAGAGACATTGCAGAAGTATCTGTTGCCTCGATAAACTAGGTACAAACTGCAATGTTTTTGACAATGGTCTAAGACAAACATTACAAGAATATTTGTACTATACTCCACTATAAATTTTACCATATTCAATCATCTTCATATAGAAAAAAGAAAGGAATGTTGGGGAAAAATCAACTTAAACTCTGTCTAGGACAACCAAAAAATCTTTCATATTGACATCCAATTTTCACCCACACTCCCCACAACCATATTAGTTAAGTAGCAAGGATTACCCAATACAAGCAAACAATACATAAACAAATAAAACAACTAGAGATGTACCTATGAAACATATAGCACAAAACAAACTCAGGACAACTAACAAATTGTGCACTGTGTTCCAGTAACGAGTCAATTGACTATTAAATTGAAAACATCTCTATGTGGCATGAAAATATAAATATATAATCACAAAATCAGGGACAAACACAAGTAATTAGTGATGGTATTCTCCAATGACAATTAGATAGTATACAATTTTTGTTTAGACAAAAAAGAACAATGATGTGGATATACAAACAAAAATTAATAAGGATGTGAAAGGAATCATAGCAAAAATTTAAATTAAAAAAAAAACACACACACACACACACAACAACAACAACAATAAAATGAGTATATATTACTCAGAAATCTAGAAGTAAGAATTGGAGACAATATTATACATTTTGATAAGGCCCACACAGCATAAACAGACTAGATAACACGGGAGCATGAAACTACCTTTATTTCTTCTTATTCAGAGATCAAAATAGTATACGCCCATATTACCTACAAGTCAAAAGATATATGTATTCATTTGGAAGGATGAACATTGTCATTATTCATAAACACATCATCCTGCAATTCCTGTTTACATTTTATTAAGCTCTAATGGTATATAAATACATCTACTTAGGGTTGAAGTTGAAACTATCAGACAAGTATGAAATTAGTTGATACAACAATAGAAAGCATACAACTAAAAAAATGGGAAGGAAATCAAAATAACTGATAATTACCAAGAAACCAAGTCATTCTCATGCAAAACACAAACAGCATAGAGAGGCCTTATTATATATTTCAAAGAAGTGAATATAAAGAGGAAGTCATTACAATGAAGGTAATGAATACAAAGAAAAGTAAAGAAAGAAAAACAGAAGTAATATTATTCTAACTGAATAAGTGAAATCACATAAATATCAGCAAAGAAATACAACTCAAGATAACAGTTCACAAATAAAATAATATGAATACTAACAAATGTAGAGTAAACACAATCAACTTTACCACCTCTCTAACAAGCAAAAACAGTACACATAAGACCAACCTCTATGGTATCTTGACTGTCAATATGCACCTCCTAGCTATGAACAGTGTCACATTTCAAGACGCAGAGGTCTAAGATAGAATCCAGCATGCAGTATCGATCATGAGATGGTTAAGATACGTCTGCAATTCATGTACAATATACTTAAAAATGAACCCTAAACAAGTTTAGGGGTCACAAAATATCTAATGAATCCTATTGCTATTTGCAATTGAGAATGCCCAAGTATTATCAAAGAATAATTCAACCAATAGCAAAGCAATTTCCTTTCAAATAATACAACAAAAATGGGGAATATAAGGCAAAAATAGAGGAGTACAGTAATACACCCAAAATATTACAAAGAAAAGGAGGTTGGGTTTAAGAAGGCCGCAATCTCAAGAGGCAAGCACAGACACAAAACATGCACTAGATCAGGAAAAGCACAATAAACTGCCTTTTACTGGAAGATAAAATAATGCACAAAGCAAAACTGCTGCCACTAAAGAGCTAAAATATTTTTGTTTAAATTGCATACATTAGTCTAATAGGTGTTTTCTTAACCCCTCTTCCCAACTCCACCATCCCAACAAATAACACACAATACAAATGGTTTTCTAGATAGCCTTTCTATTCTTAAGGTTAGTACCATTAACAGAGACCACTCGAAGAACAGAGATTCATATAAAAGCTACAAGTCTAACAAATACTATTACATGGTGAAAATCTTGAGGGCTCGGGGTTTCTTCACACTACAATTAATTATATCTGTTATATAATACTCACACATTTCGAATAACTTTAGCACCAGATTTATAAGTACCAAATCATGTTAGTGACTGTTCAACACTTAGACAGATGGAGTATATTAAGAATTGGGAACAAGCTATTAAGAATTGACAATTTCCATAACAAGAAACAAACAGAACTATTACAAATTGAGATGAAAGCAAAATTTCAATTCAAACTGCCAGTAGAGCATGTCATACGGTATGGATGAGGACAATTACAACTACCTTATAGGAGTTGGGCACAATTGTGTTCCTTGCTTCTTGATCTTTCCAACACGCACTGAAACCAGAGGAATGCACAAGCATCTGGCCAGGATACCAACCTCTGCCGGATCAAAGTGCTGCTTCATACAAAAAAACAAAGATGTTAATACAATCAATACACCAAAAATAATAGATTAGCATTCAACACGTTACATTACTTGCAAATACTTAGAACTGTACTAAGATCTATAAAATACAACCAGGCAGCTTAGAATTGGCATCAAATGAAGTGAAATTCCACAGAAAAGCAACAATCAATTAGAACCTAAGCCATAGAGTAATTTAGCTGGTGAGAATCTTCAAAAACTACAGATCCGAACACGTACCTGACTGAGATAAGCGAGTAAGCAATCCTCCGCGGCACCGGTGGAGACATTCATCTTCAACAAAGGCTTCAGCCTCTCATCGGCTCGACACGCGCCCATCACCTGCATATCCAGAGCCTGAAGCCACTGAAAAACACTGCCTTCTCGATCGCTCCGTTGAAGCAATAGATCTCCATCGCCGTCCTCCACCAGGATCTCCGTCAACCTCTCCACAAGCCCCGAGCTCCCTCGGCTAACTCCACCTTCCGTCGCAGTACCGCCCGTCTCGGTCCCTTCAATTGCGTGACCACCGATAGAATCCTCAACACCATCCATCTCCCGATCGTTCAACGATTGTTTCTTCTCACCATTAACCATTTTAATTCTCAGATTAGAATATTAGATTAATTATGTTCAAATCCCCGACCCGCCCCGCTACCAACAAATTGCAATCGAGATCGTTGCAACGCTCAATCCGATACTCTAATTCAATTCCGATCGTAACAAAACTTTGGATCTCGGCCTCTCGGAGATAGAAGAGTCAAATTCGGAGAGGGATAAAATGATAAATCTCGCGATAACAAAAAGCAGCTCGAATGGAAGATGAGGGGCGTCGAAAGCGTTAAATAGCATAATAGGTAGGGAGGGCAGGCTCATCCGGACTTAAAACCCGAAACTCAGTTTTGGTTTAAAGTCGGTTTGGAGTCCGAAATATCATCAATCATGGATGCGACGTACACGTCAGACTTATGTATGAGTGGGTCCCTGGGATTTCTCGTGGGTCCATTGTGGGACCACGAGGGGGTGTTGGAATAGTGTGCCACGTCACGGATCTGCTTCCGCATTGGACAGACGGCAAAACGTACGATAAAAATGTATCCTTAATTAAAATATCAGCATAGGGAAAATTGGGACCTCAATTGACTAATTTATGAGGTGGCATTTTTTGATAAAAAATTCATAAATCATACTCCGTATGAGATATTTTTGAATAGTAAACTTTCTTGTCATTCAACATACTACTATAACATACCTACATATAATATAATATAATATATAATATATAGAAAATGGTCAAATAGATCCATAAGTTTTATACTAAAAAATTAATTAAATCCTTAAATTTTAAAAATGTAACTGTGCAAGTAAGCACTTAAACTTATTAAAATATAAGTCAAATAAGTTAAATGTATCGATAACCAACAGGTTACAAGTGAAATTATATTGTTGATTGCCGTTTGTTGCTGTTGATTACTATTCGCCTTCTTCCGATCAATAAAAAATGCTAGTGGCTGGAGAGTCATCAGATTTTTCACGGGAACGATACTAACCGGCTATAACATGTTCATAACTGATTGGTAGGCTTAGATGCACAAAAATAACATGTTGATAGGCCTAATTTTTTTCCTGTAATATAATATAATTAGTTTTGATGTGTATGTCTTGCAAACATTAATATAGTTATTTTTTATACGTGGTTCTAATAATAAAAAATATTATCTGACATTCTTTAATTCACAGAAATATGAAACTTTTGAGAGTAATATAAGATTCTCAATAATGATTTTATACTTTATTTTCTTAATCTCATTTTATCAAACTCATAAACAACATGAGATTGTCAAGAATGATTTTGTACTTTATTTTTTATACCTCATTTTACTAAATTTTTAAATAATAGAAACGGATGGTGACCATAAATAGAAAAATACTCTATATCACAGAGCATGTTTGCCGTTTTTTTTTTTCCTTCAAATTGCTCATTAGGCTTAATATGTCCCTTCAAGATCTGCTGCTAGTAAAATTAGTAGATTTATTTTAAGTTAGTTAATCAATTGAACTGTATCATTTATGTTGCAAGTATTTGTACAACATTACGCGTTTAGGATACGTGACAGCGGAGAGTGGATGTGACTAACTGTAAAGCTTAACAAAAGTGGACGTTGGGCACCCACCACGCCCATCATCATAAATTGACTCCTCAATAATGCAAGGGAGGAAAGGGACGGCCGGCTTAACTGCAACTAGAAAATAGTATATGCAATATGCAACACTCCTTTAATTGAATATGCCCTTGCTCGCATGTATTTGCATTAAAAAAGAAAAGAAAAAATCTTATGGACCAAAATAACCTGGAGGTGATGATAAATATGGGGTGTGTACAGGGTGGAGTCAATAGTCAATAAATTTGTAATCATTCACTTAAATATGAAGGGAAAGGAAAGGGACAGGAGAGGAAAAATAAATGGGCCTATGAGCTGCAATAATTTTCTAAAAGTGGTATTGAGTATCAATTGAGACTGGGCTTTTGTTGGTTAGATATAGAAAACCATGATTAAGGTTGTAAATATTCTGTCAATTTGTTTCAATACTAATTCTGATTATACCAGGTTCATAAGCCATTGAAGCAAGAAACAAATTCATTATCAGTGTAGCAGAACACTGTTGGCTGCTAGTACTCTATCAGATCCTTTCTTAAGATCCCATTACTCATTTACTTGCCTTTTTTATTTTCTTTAGCATAATCGCTAATGAGCGCTTCGACATCTTTCCAAAAGAGCCCCTCTGCGAGAACTCCATCCTTCGTAAACCTGCAAAAATAATTGCAGATATTATATACCCAGAATACTTTACCCATTTTATGGATCAGGATCAACTATATTCTGCTTTCCCTTTCCGTGTGTATGTGCCCCTGAGAGGGAGGGGGAGGGGGACAAAGAAAGAGAGAGAGAGACCATTGTGTGACAGTCTTGGTAAACTCCACCGGTGGCTTTGCAGAGATTGACTGGGGATCTGCACTTGCTATCATGAGAGTGTACATATCTGAGAATCTAGGCAACTTTGAAGAGACGACTAAGCCAGTGCTGCTAAAAGATCCCTGTGGGAGGAATAAAACGTATTAGGGTCCATCACATTAATAGAGACTTCATTATCCATGTACTTCTATCATAGCATCATCTCAGCACGACCAGCCCATGCACTTTAAAGGAGCACAGAAAATTGTCATCTAACGAGAAGTAACAACATGACACAAAATTAAACTCTAAGAACCTTAAAAAGTCAATATGATATTGTTTGAAGTAATATAGCACCAGTTATTAAGCCTCTAGCCGCTGAAAAACAAGAGGTTCTAAAGGAAACTAATGCAGCTAATGCCCCTGATGTGTACGAGAGACATTTTCATTCAGGGGGTGTTTGGTTGGATGTAATTTGGGTGTAATTGAATTACAATTCTTTGAAAGTTCCAATTACGCTGTTTGGTTGGAGGGAATTGCAATTCCACCGAATTGCAATTCCCTCCAAATGTTGAATTGTAATTCATACCTCCCCCCCTATGAATTGCAATTCGGTGTTTTGATGGAAAAGAAAAAATGTAGTGTGAAGACCATTTTACCCTCCAATATTATTTTGTCTTATTAGCTTTACTTCCTTCTTTCCTTGTTTCTTCTTCCCCATTCATCATTCTTTCCTTTCTTTTTTCTTTTCCATTCCCCATTCTTTTTTCTTTCCTTTTTGTTTTCCTTTCGTCCTCTTCCTTATTCTTTCCCCTTTCTTTTTTCTTTCCTTTCGTCATCTTCCTTATTCTTTCACCTTTCTACTTATTATTATTATTATTATTATTATTATTATTACACAAGGGCATTTCAGTCATTGTATCACTTATTCCCTTTCAATTCCATGTTTTATTCCTGCATACCAAACACTTTAATTTGAATTCCTACTTTATTCCCACCTGCATACCAAACAGTGTAATTTGAATTCCTACTTTATTCACACCTTATTCTTTTCCCACCGAATTACAATTCCTTTCCACCCTAATTCATTCCTTCCAACCAAACACCCCGTCAAGGAAAAAACCTCTGACCTTTGGAATCAGGTTCTACCAAAGAAACTACTTATCATATACAGAGCATTAACTTTTTTTAATGAAAAATATTTATAAAATATTAATTGGAAATACATTGTTAAGCAATGTCCCATTATTCATACCTTTTAAAAGTTCATTCTTCCTAACTTCTTAACTCAGAGTGTGTGTGAGAGAAGAATTCATGGTTTTGTAAAGAGAAAATTGGTTAAACACATAGTTCATTATCCTGCTTTGTCAAAGTCATTCATGAGGTAGTAATACAAATCAGACTCTGCCTCAGTTACAGTTTGCTTTAATAAGAGTGCATATATGTCATCGACCCTCTTTTTTTTTTTTTTTTAACATCATTTTGGCCTGCTAATATAACAAAACTAAGAGTAGAAATCTTTACTCAAAGACATGAACGATCATTAAGCATATCTAAAAATATTTATGCTGTCAACTTTCTTAAGGTGCAGTACTCTATAATGAATTTCCAGGAACCAATTATGCATCCATGCATATGCAAAAGGGACAAGAGACTGATTCAAATATCCATGCAACAACTCTACTCCAACTTAACATTTACTCCTCTAAGCAAGACAAATAACATAGCACCATAGGCACATGATAATAACATGAATCTATACATATTGATACAAAGCACAAAACAACATTTTATCATTAGTCATGCAAATATATCACTTGAAAGGCATAGTGACTTACAGCTGGTGGATAAGTGAACAAAATGGCATTCTTTTCCTTTGTGTAAGGAATCAGCAGCAGAAGTGCACTCACTATAATATACTTGCCATAGTCAAGATCAAACAGGCACAGCCAAATCAGAAATTGTATTCAGAAATAAAGGGAAGAGAACGAAAAGCCGAAAACCAGTTTTCTCACTTCATTTCAGATTTCTCAGTATAGTGTAAATGAACAGAGGCAATTAGATTTAAAAGTTTCACAGCTTATGATGCTATATTTTCTTGTCTACGTAAAAGATCACGAAACAACCACAAAATGAAGGTCGAATCCAATTCACAGAACAAATTAAGAAAAGGATATAACGAAATGCAGACGATAAGAATATTCCTGTTCTCGGGAAATTTCTTATTGTAGAACTGAGCAAAGAGAGCGATCGCGATGACGACGGTCCCAAGCAACAATCTAATGTTACTCATCGCGAAATCTTCAGCGTAACCCCTGCTTGTGACGATCTAAAACGTACAAACAACAAACATCAATCTGAATCACTCTTTATCGCTTCGAATTCGGTTAAACACTCAATTCTAGCAAATTCGATTCATTTCAGAGGCGAGAAATGTAATTTTACCTCAGAAACTGACTCATCCAGGAGGTGCTTGATAGAGTGTTGATCCAGCAGATTGGTCTTTTTGACTTTCTTGCCCTTAGACCCTGCATCCCCATTCTTCTCCTGCATTTTTCTAGGGTTTGTCCGGAGAACGCTTTGCGCAGTGCAATGTGTACTCACTGTAACAGTACGCCCGAAGAAGAAAGAAGTTACGACTTCTGAATGGGCCAGAGATTTCCCGCAAACATGGCCTTGGGCTGATAAATCACGCTGGATGCCCATTCGGTTAATCCACATGCATCGGGTTTATCCAATAAGGGCAATTTATATCGTGCACTACGGCGCACATATCAATGTGCGTTCAGGCACAAAACGTGCACATTTCATGTTGACGTCATTTCGTTCATATAAACAGATCAAATTTTATTATGTGTATTCAATTAAAATTTTATGTGTATTGTGTTATGAGTTTATGTGTATTCAGTTAAGAGTTTATGTGTATTATGTTAACCAAACCGATTATGTGTATTCAGTTAAAAGTTTATGTATATTGTGTTATGAGTTTACGTGTATTATGTATTATGTTAGATTATGGGTATTCTGTTATGAGTTTATGTACATTCGAAACAGATGATTTTTTTTTAACAACTTAACAAAACGACGTCGTTTTAGGAGGCGCGGGGTGCACAGTGCTATGTGCACCCTGGTGCACGGTATAACGATTGTCTGATAAGTTGATTTTACGTGTTCAGATTTAATTAATCAGATATAATGTAAGTAAATTACGTTTTTAACATTGGTGTACCCACTGTTGCAAAAATCGCGCCTAAGCGGTAGGTGCCCTAGGCGATCCCAGGCGCCTAGCGATTTTTTCAACATTGAGTGTACCTAATAAAAACGTCTTTCACGTTGGTACATTTAATGATAACGTTTTGTATAATTAATGATAACTTTAGGTGCACTTAATATTGATGTCCAATGTACATTAATTTGTTACACTATTAATTACATTTTACTTGTACTTAAAGTGCAATGTATGAAACTATTACTTGCGCTTCAAAATTCATTTACAAATATGTCAACACATTTTTTTAATAGTGTTTCTGATCCGTTAGCAAAAAATGAAACTCATATATTGAATAACAATATCAAGCATCACCTTTATAAAGCTTTAGATTTGCAACAATGGCGTAAAAAAGAGAAGAAAAGAAAAACATATGTCCTGAAGCTTGGAGATGTAACAATGGCACACTGAAGAAGTCATGAAGCCAATCAAATGTTTGTTTTTTTTTTTTTTTGTTTTTATATATTTGTTTAAAAAGTGTTGGTGCGGTTGGTTTGTCGTAACGGTGACCGTTTTTTTCATTAAAACGAACGACATCGTTTTGAACTATGATTCACATAGATGAACCATATAATGATTGTAGAATTATGTTTTTTTTTTTTTTTTTGAAAAGAGCCTGCGCGGCATTCATCGGAAATATGCTGAAATAGAGTGTGGCAGACCACTGTCCGAGTACATAGGTGCTGAATAATTAAAGGCCGAAATGGCTAAAATATGTGCTAAACAATTATCTGATCTATGAACATAATTAACTGAAACATAATCAAAGGAAACCATCCGGTTTCTGCAGGTGTCAATGGCATAGCCGAGGTACGAAAGTGGTGTATCCTTCGGATGTGATAGGTACTGTTGTAGTGACAAACAATCCGTTAGTATGTCTACCGATCTCTCTCCATGATTCCATAGCCAGGATAATACTTCTTTACATGCAATTGCTTCTGCCATAAGCGGGGAAAAACAGTCTATCAATAGCACATGTAGAGCTGTAATATACGATCCCTGTTCGTCTAGGAAAATTGCTCCACCAGCAGCCTTAAGGCTGCATCAAAGTAACATCTCTTCCCTACGGAGGCAGCCGCAAGGGCTGTGGGCAGGACGGCAGCAGGCTCCAATGCCGCACCTTGGTAGAATTATGTTTATTCGACTCAAACACAAATACAGAGCACAAATTACTAGATATGATTATTTATTTTAAGATATTGTATTACTAAATATATTACTAAATATTATTTACTATAATAATGTTGATTTCTATATATATAAAAGCAAAAATTTGCGTGAGAACTCTCATAGAATATATAAATCGGTCGTATAATAATGTCTAAAAGAGAGTAATACACAATAGCAAATTCTACGCCTACTACAACTCCATCAAATTCGAGTGTCTTTTAAACTCTCCATCATTATCCCCACCCATATCAATACTCCGCTTCAGAGAGCAAAATGGGGATGCCTGTTTTGCGCGTCAGCATCGGCGGCGGAGAAGACATCGACGCGGCGACGAGGAACGCCGTGGTGGACCGGCTGTACAAGGTGGTCGCGTGGGTGGTCCGGGGACAGGAGTTCGTCACGCCGCTGGTCCAAGGGAAGCTGGACCCCATCTGGAACCGCCGCTTCCAAGTCTTGATCGATCCGGCGCTGCTGTCCACCGTGTTCCTGCACGTGGAGGTGATCAGAGCCAGCAGCGACGAGCCCGGGACGTCGCGGAACGCCGCCGTGGTCGGCAGGGCTCGCATTCCGCTGCCCAAGCTGCACGGGCCGCCGCCGTCGTTCCTCAGATATGGGCTCACGGCGGCCCACGGCTCCGAGGTTCGTGCCGCCGGCCATATCTATATTCTTATGGAGATTAGAGAGGCCACTCCACCGAAGAAGAGTCCAGTCCAGTCTCTTCTGCATTATTAAGTACTCTGATATACTTAATTGCTTATTATTATGCGACTAATTAATATTCGGTAAACTCTCTATTACTATTTATCGTTTAATCAGACTTTACATACAAAAATGTGTTTTGGATATTAACGGGTTGATCCGTTTTAAGTTTAACCCGAAAGTTAAATATTATTTATGATTTAAAAAAAAAAAAAACTCATGACTATCATTTATCTGTTTCAATCATACCACTCATACAATTCTTTACACAATATTAGATGTTATTTAATGTGTTTTAGATATTAACGGGGTAGTCCGTTTATGAATGGTAATAATGTAAATATCAAATTTGTTCTAAAGCGACTTTCTATTTATTTGTTGTTGAGATGAACATATTAAGTTCATAAGTTTAATACATTTGGTGATTTGGGTCATCATTAGTGAGAATGCGAAGTAATATTACTAACTTTAAATTTAATGTTTACTAAATGAATATTTAAGTATAGGACTAAATTTAGAATAAAATCAATAGTTAAGTTAATGGATCATTTATGGTCAAATTAAAAGTCAAAGATGAAAATTATTAAATGTCAATAGTTAATGAAATATTCATGGAATTAACTCTTAGGTTTATAACCCGTTAAGCTTATTATTAATTATGATTTTTAGATGTTATTTTATAATAGTTTTATGAATGTTATAGTATGTTATGAATAAAATGTTTTTTACTATTTTGTTAAATTTAATTGTAAATTTTAACATAAATATTTTATAGAGTTTTATTTACAATTTTTTTGGGTACGCATTTACAAATTTTATATGTACATGTATAATAGGTTTATAAACAAATTATTTCACCTATGTAGTTTTTCCATTGTGGTTGGTTTGTTGAGGGATGGGCTTAGGGCTTAGCCCAATGACCTTGTCCAATTAGTGGATCTGAAATGGGCCTAAAGCCCATGAACCGTAACTTTACCACGTGTATTGCGGAAATAATATCAGTGTGGGCCCCATCGTTTAGCTTTACCAAATTCCAGTAATCCATTTTCCATTTTCGCCATTTTTCTGCGTTTAAGAGTTTTCTCTGTAAATCTCATCTTTCTGTACCTCGGACGATAATCGCCATGGCAGCAGCGAGCTCTCTGCCGCCTTCGAAGCCGTACGATGTCGACTTCACAATCGTCTCCGCCAAGCATCTGAAGAACGTGAATTGGCGCCACGGGGATCTCAAGCCCTATGTGATCTTCTGGGTGGATCCCGATCGTCGTCTCGCTACCAAATCGGACGATCATGGATCGACCAAGCCGGTGTGGAACGAGCGGTTCGTGCTTCCTCTGGCGGTCCCGCCTCAGGAATCGCTGCTCACTCTCGAGATCTTCCACTCGAAGCCGTCGGAGACGCCCAAGCCGTTGGTCGGAACCCTAAGGTTGCCGCTCAAGGACGTGATGTGCTCGGATGATTCCACGAAGGTCAGAAGTTTCGAGCTCCTTCTACCCTCCGGTCGCCCCCAGGGTAAGATCCGACTCAAAATCTCTATCCAGGAACGCCCGAGCCCCCCTGATTTCCAAATTCCCCCTCCGTCCAGCTATTATTTCTCAACTGCGCCGCCGCCGCCCGCTTCCCGTGATTACCGAGGATACAATATCCCTCCGTACAACCCACACCAGCCCCCATCTCCCGCGCTGGTGCCGCCGCCTCATCCGACTCTATCACCTCCACCTCCTCCCCACTCGCATCCTTATCAATACGGCGGATACTCTGATCCATACTCTAGCTACTACCCCGGTTACTACGCTCAGCCTCCTTATCCGCCACGGCCGTTCCCTGACCGACAACCCAGCTTTGGCAGGCCGGGGCCTAGTGCGCCGGTGGATTATGCACCGTATGATAACAAGCGTAGTGGAAAGATGGGATTAGGAACTGGATTGGCAGTTGGAGCTGTGGCAGGAGCCCTAGGAGGGCTGGCATTGGAGGAGGGTTTGAAATATGAGGAAGAGAAGATTGCAGAGAGAGTTGAGCGTGACATTTCTGGAAGGGATAATTACAGTGACTACCATGTTGATTACTAGTATTCTTGCTGCCAAAAAGGTCTTACTGTATGGTATACCTCACTGGGTATGCTCTATGGTTTGTTTTATGGTTTGGCCATTTGCGTGAATATGTATATATAACTTGCTTGTCTTAACTCTTTTCGGCTTATATGATCATCTGGGTTGTTTAATGTGAGCTTATCAATCGCTCCTCCCCTTTTGGGAATAAATGTTCCATATACTCATTGCTCTTTCTGGTTTTGTTTTACTACTTAGACATTAGCTGCAGGACTACACGACGATAGACAGTTGTGTCATACTGGCATCTAGTATACACTTTGTTCACCTTATTTATGAATGATGAAATGGGTCAATGTTGATGAAATGAGTTGATGGTGCTTAGGTTTCTCTTTATGAAACGAGTTTGATTGAATAGCTTAAATGTAACTTCAACTTGGGGCTTGTGTAAATTCTCATGAGAATATATATGACATTGAATGCCTTAGAAGAACATCTTTTGATGTTACAAAGCATTTTATGCATCTGAGTTGGTTTCTACTAAGTGGGGATGAGTCTTTGGAGTTAACCAAACTGGGTTGTGTGTGCTTGGGATATCTTGAGCATATAGTGCCATTGTTCTAAAATAGGTCCTGTCTAGAAGTTCCCCTTTTGGTTCTTTTGAGTAATACTTTGTCCTGTAGTCTAATTATCTGGTCATATCTTTGTTTTCTTACTAGAAGATGCATGCCTCTCTTAAAATGTTTGCGGTTTGCAAGGTCAATCCTGTATTTAAAGAAGTTTGTGCTCTTCAGTGTCCTTACCCCATGAAAATGCAAAATCTCTCTTCACTTTCCCGTGGCTGCAGTATATGATCTGTGTTGACATTCTATAAATTATTAAATCTCAACTGATGTCTGAAGAACATCCATATTCTATTTTCCCTGTGTGTTAAATATAGATTTTATCATGGCACCTCTTAACTTGCAGAGTCTGTTGCTAGGTCCATTCTCTTGATTTAGAATGTGGAGCTTTTGAATGTAAGTTGTGGACTTGTGGTTTCTCTTAAAGTAAGCTTCAGGTTCATCAACTCTGAGCAACCTTTGAATTGGATTAATCTAGGTATTGAACTATTGACAGAGGCGCAATTAAATTAGTCATATCCCACAGGATGCAGACACTAGTGTACTATACACTTGGACTTAGTCTCATCCTCAAAATGCAGGATGTTGATACTGGTTTACTATACACTTGAAATTAGTCTCATCCTCAAGATGTGGGATGTTGATCCTAGTGTACTATACACTTGAGAATAGTCTCATCCTCAAGATGTGATGAGATTACTAGTGCAGTATGCAAAGGTATAGTAAATCTTGGCAGTCACCATGTAAGAGTTTTGCCCTTTTGTGGGAGTGGCTCATTTTGGGCTAAGAGGTTGCTTAGTGATTTAACTCTTTCACCATCCCTGTAGGGCTTGGATGCGGGATTCAGGACCTAAAGGTGAGGGATTTCGCTCTTTGCATGCAGCGAAAGGTATGGTATAGTAAATCATTATGTTATGAGGCCTTACTACTACTTTTCTGTGAGAAGTTTTGGGCTCATTGTCAATTTGGACTATTTTATGCTTGTTGGGCTGAGTAGCCTTCCATCTTATTCTCACTTTTGTCCCAATACAAAAAGTGCAAAATGAGTCTGTCCAACCATATATTAATCTCTGAGAAAGATGTGACCTTTTTGCTAAAACATCATTCCACTTGGCCTCAGAAACCTTATCTCTTCCATGTTTATTGATTGTCATTTGTGATGATTCATGTACTGATAAACATCATTCCACCGCAGTATCACTATCACCCCAGTATAAATGAATTGAACCTGTCTAGTGTCTACTTTAAAGTAAACAACAAATATAGTGAAATGTTTTGAACTCCTCCATTGCACCTTGCCAGTGTTGTGACCATACATGCATGCATGCCTAAACTGCACATTCTTAGTTAGAGTGATTGAGCCATTCTTTCCTTTTGCGGTGTGTTGGTTTTAAATTTAACACATTAATAATGAACTTTTCTAGGATAAAGCCATGTTAGTAGAATGGAATTTAGCCCCTATGGTTGTAATGTGATAAGACTTTCACCAAAAAAAAAAAAAAAAGTGATAAGACCTATAGGGACATTAGGTTTGTATTTTGTTTTGGATCAGGGAAAGAAAACAAATTAAAACAAAGCTTACAAATGTCTACTGAAATACCAGTATACTTTTAAAGACTCTTTAAAACTCTGGATTGAATGCCGGTAGACTTTTAAAAAGTCTTTATACTTTAGATCGAATACCACTAAACTTTTAAAGTCATTAAAATTCTTTAAAAGTTTATAAAAGTCTTGATTGAATATACCCCCCTTATAAAACTTTTAAAGACTTTTAACGACTTTTAAAAGTTGAGTGATATTCGATCTAGACTTTTAAAGACTTTAAAATTAGTCCACCGGTATGCGCTTCGGACTTTTAAAGAGTTTTAAAGTATATCGATATTTGATTTAGACTTTTATAGAGTCAAGTCTACTGATATTCAAAAACTTGTTAACTTTTATAAACTATATATAAGATTTCTGTAGATTTTTCATTCACAAATATAAATAGTTGAAATCCAACCCTTCAACTCAAACTTTTCAACTTTCTCTACAAACTTTTTCTCTTTGTCTAAATCAGACAAACTTTTCATCTCTTCATGTCAAGTTTTACAATATGTTTAAAAACTTTCATAAATACTCATTTAACTTTTGATTTTCATCTTTTAATTTTCCTTGTAATCTGAGCAACTGCATCCTCCGGTGGCTTGCCATGCATAGCCATGGAGAAGAGACAGATTCACCGGAAAAGTCGCAACACTGAGCTTAACCGGAAATTGGCTGGAAAAATTTGAAACAAGATTAATCGGAAAATTCAAAGTTCTATTTTTCAATTTGTTTTAAGAGAGAAGGGAGAGAATTTTAGGTTTAGAGAGAGAAAGAAAGGGAAAAATGGCTTTAGGCTTTATTGGTTATATCATTTAGGTATAATACACCCTATTTTTGTGACAATCAATTTTTTTTTTTTCAATGCATTAATTTATTTATGATTTATAAAAATATATTTACATTATAAAAACTTTTGTAAGAAAATTACAAATAATGTATTAGTAGATGTTATGAAATGTTTGTAAAGATGTATTCCTTCAAAATTTCATTCCGTGAACTAAACATGCTGTTATAGACTCGTACAAAGATGATAAAAGTTTAGATTCTACTAAAATCTAAAAAGATTTTATATTTTAAAACTTTTTGAAAATTTATAAGTCATATACATTGTCTCATTCTCACCCCCATGGGTCAATAAAACCTTGTTTGGCTTTAACCAAATGTTAACCACCATACTTTAATTTTGATGATATCTACCTCTTATTTTATCTTGAATGTTATTAATTTGAGAGTTAATACCCAAAATGGTCCCTCGACTATGCCATAATTACCAATTTGGTCCTCAATTACCATTCTTACCCAATTAAGTCCTCAACTATGTAACTTTTACTCAATTAAGTCCTCAATTATACAATTCTTACCCAATTTAGTCCTCAACTATACAATTCTTACCCAATTTAGTCCTCTGTATTAATTTGACTGTTTGTTGACTGTCAAAATTCGGGATAAAATTATAATTTTACAAGATTTCTCATTCCTCTCCATTTAGCAGCGCCACACCATGCAGAAATACACTCCGATCAAATTTCGATCGTCAAAAAATCGTTGGAAATCAAATTCATGTCAAAAAATCGTTGAAAATCAAATTCATGGGCTATCCGATGCATAACCACTACTTCGATACTAACAGGTTTAGAATCCAACCGGAGCTTATTGCTACATGGTTTGGCGCTGCTAAATGAGGAGGAAGGAGAAAACTTATAAAATTACAACTTTTTATTTTCACTTTTGACAGTCAACAAACAGTCAAATTGACAAAGGACTAAATTGGGTAAAAATTGTATAGTTGAGGACTTAATTGGGTAAGAATGATAGTCGAGAACCAAATTAGTAATTACGACATAGTCGAGGGACTATTTTGGATATTAACTCTTAATTTGACTACTCGTAATACAAATAATTCAGTTTTCTATATATACACCGAATTGAAGGCCTACTGGTCCACTTGTATATAATACATATAATTCAACCTTCAATAATACACTGAACCAATGTTATTTTCACCACTCACCCCAACTCTAGATGAGAAGTTGACCGCCGGAAAATGGGTGAGAAACGGCCGTGAAGTTACTATACCGACGTCTCTTTCCGCCTCTAACGTAACAACCGTCCAATAAAACGGCGGTGAATCATTATATTGATCATTGATCAATCAAACCCGCAACGGCGCCGTATTTCCACCGTAAAACAACAAGCAGTCCACAATCAAGAAACACGACATTACGTTGTACACCATCGTACACACAAATTTCTAGAAAGCTGAAACTGTCAATTAAGCTAACCTGCTTGGTCGTACTGCGAACGACTGTTTGAAATGGTCCATTGTGGTTAAAGCCAATGCATGTCATAAGTACATGGTACCTGCCTGGTTTAATGTATGTCACAGGTACATGGTTGATACGTATCTGCTTGGTTATGACACTGAAACTAATTTTATTGTATTGTTATAGGTTGAACTTAGACATAAAAAATTGGTAGTCAATGGGAACATATTTCTTAAGATTGCACCCCAATTTGAAGAATTTAACATGCTCTTGTCCTGCAGGAGTCTTGGTAGAAGAGGTAAATTGCAGGATGTGTTTTAACGATTTATAAGTTCTTTAGAATTGATTAAGTATTCTGTGGTTGGCCGTGAATAGAGTCCTTAATATTTAGATTGGTCAACCAATCGATGAGCTATGTTTCAAAGGCATTGAAACATATTTCTTAATCATTACACTCAAGCCCAAAAGCTTCCACCTGCATGTCAGATCTTGAAGTCTTGGTGGATGAGGTAAATGGCAGAATGTATATCATTAACAGGTTTCCTAG